ACTTTTGGGGGTGGATCTTCCAATGCTGAACCAACACTGCCATCTCTATAATAAAACCACTTTCCATATACTGCCAAAAAAAAAAAAAATATGTTACTGAGTAAAGTGACAAAGCTGGAAAACAGACAGTAGTTTAAAGTATTGGTATCAACTGACTGATAACTCTTACATCACATAAGAGAATATTCCAATTCTTGGGAAATAGACACTAAAGTGCTTACAAGGGCCATGACAGATGCCATCAAACGGTCGAGGACAAAAATCTGTGTGCGTGTATGCATGTGTATGTGCATGTGTGTATGCAGCAGAGAGAACAAATGGAACAATATGTTGGTAACAAGTACATCTCAGTAAAGAGAATATCCACTTCTTATGTCATTTTTATTCTTGAAACACTTTTAAAGTTTGAAACTATTTTCAAATACAATTTCTTAAAAATAAAATATGAGGATATGGCCCATGACTGAATAGCTGCACCCATCAAAATGGTCCACACTGGGAACACATATCTAGTAAGAGCTGAGATAATCTATTTGCCTTGAATTTCTTAATCGTTTCATGATATGTATCACATACCTGCTCTCTGTTAGACTCTTGAAAGGGACAAGGAAACACAACCAGTAAAAGAAAGGCATGCCCCCAGCAGCCCTCCACACTCTGCCAGACTGCATTACTTGAAAGGATCTAAACATCCTCTAAATCCCAGATAGCTGCCATTCCAAATCACATGACTCCCTCGCATTCCTAATTCTGGTCTCAACTGTACATATCCAAAAGCTTCAAGTATGTACTCTTTTGTGCCAACTACACTATAAGTTACTCTCTGGCTTACAGCCCAGTTCTCTATTCTAGCCCAAACCTTAGGTCCTAGATCTAATCTCTGCAGCCTGGAGGTCTCAATCTAAGGGATCTGGTATGAAAGGGCTTATCTTCAAGAGTCTAAAGGGACCTGGCTTCTGTCTCTCTCCTGGAGAGTAAGTAGCCTAGTTCTTGCCTGTATCCACCACC